AATAAAAAAAAAAATTTTGAATTTACTTACTTGTAGCCGGAGTTAGAGGCGGTCGGATACTTATGACCACTACTGTACCTGATCTCATTATCCTCATCCTAAATATATTCAAAAATAATGTAAAGATCTCTCCTTAAATAGATGCTGTTTACTGATCAACCTATTTCTACTATTACAAATTCAACATATAAAAAAAAGATGATATAATTTGATCCTTCATTTATAGTATCTAAAGAGCAAAAAATTAAAATAATAATAATTAAAAGCTATCAATATAATAACTGAAACTTAAAAAATATCTTAAGTGAAACTGTAACAATGGTATTCTATTACAGATCTTTGGTCTAGTAGAGCTAAACATAGATATATTTGTATTACATTAAATTACGCTAAATTTTAAAATTAAAGATGTAATATTGGAAATAAAATATGCTTTTTCTTCTTATATTACTATTACTAAATTACTTTATAAATGTATTTTAAGGTGGATTTTAATAAACATGTAGCAGCTATTATTATAGATAATAAATCAAATATAAAGGTAACATTTTCTATCTTAACTTAAAAAGTCAATATAAAGCTATTTAATAACTCTTTTGTATAACTTATATAATTCAATTAGCAATTAGGAAAAATTTACAGTGCATACAACTTAGTCCTAACATATAAATTTGATAAAATTTAAATTATTACTCTTCACTTAAAAAAAATGATAAATAAAAAATATAATTGTAGAATGATAGAGCAATTTAAGCTTAATAAAACTACAATTTTAAATTTCCAGTAAAGTGGTTTATAAAAGAGCAGTAGCAATTCAAAGTTAGGACATTTTACTATTAAATCAGATATTTTGACCGCCCTACATGTGATACATATGATCAATATTCCTATCGTTAATTGGCTAAATCATATTGATTATGTTTTATAGCGTAACTCAAATTAAGAATAAAAAATATTGTCTCAAGTTTATAAAATTTTCTTTTTAAATTCAAAATATGAGCTTTTAATATTTAAATAATATATTTCTCTTCTTTATTATTGAAAAAAAGTAAAAATAGATATCTTAACAAAGATAAGTATTCTAATTTTCAAGTATTTTGCTCTAATTACTATTACTTTATTACACAATCACTAATTTTTCTTCTTTTCTTTTGCCTATAGCCCATAACCCATAACTAGTGTGAGTTAATATATATCAAACGAAACTGATTTATTCTAAGTATCGACTGATTATAAAACTAAATCAGAAACCCAGCAATGTGAACGGTATTTTTTAACTGCAAATTTTGCTGCTCAACCTGTCAAGTCTTTTCAAAATACATCTATATAACGAAATGCTTTTCTTACATATCAATGAATAGTTGTAAGTGAAACAGAAGCAAGAGGCATCCCAAAAGTTCTTAATGTAATTGAGCTCACAATGAAACTTGGGATAGAATATAATTTGAAGTTCAGCTGCAATAATAATTTCTTCTAGATGTCCTTTTTGTGCTAAAAAATCTGGTTGTTGACTCATTACTTTTCTTGCTTTTTCCAATTTTAATCCTTCATTTGGTCATAATTCTCTTTCCATCAGAACTTGCTTTAATCCTTTTGGCTGTTCACATAATTCAGTAATATGATAATCTAATGGAAAAATCATGTCCTGTTAAATCCTTTTATCAAAATACGTACTGCGTATTTTTCGTTGCTTTTCATCAGAACTGAAATTCATATAATTGGCAATAAGTGCATCTGAAGAAAAAGCAGCATGACTTGATGCATTATCAAATGCAAATAAAGCCTGGCATCCTGAAAAATGTGCTTCAAATATAGGTATAGCATGTTTAACTACCTGATTTATTAGATCCTCAGCCTTCCACCATTCATCATTATTTTTTCCTAAATATATAATAATATAAGCTTCTCTAGAGAAATCATCTGACGTTTGCATTTCATCAGGAAGTGTAAGGTGATCACAAATATCAGTTAAGAATTCACTCATATGAATGGAGTATCTATTACCTTTTTTTCTTAAAGGTTGTTCTCCATTTAGAATCCAAAGGCTTTGACTTCCATCATAAACTGAAAAAATACATTCATCATGTGTGACAAGAATAAGTGGTTATACATTATCACCTGCCATGTTACTTCTTTCAAATTGTCTCTAGAGAAAATTGGCATTCTATTCTCAAGTTTATCCATTTGTTCTAAGAAAATTTTACGATAAGCCACCACATCTTTCCTTTCATGTCCATCTATGTATGTTCCCTTTTTCACTTTAGTATATGTATATCTAAGTTCTATCAAATAGTTTCTTGTAGTGTTAAGATGAATAGTTGGAGATGATGCAAATCCAAGTCCTGGCAAAATAATTTCATTCATCTGTGTCATTAGTATTTGTGAAGTAACATCCCACTTATGTTTCTGAATATAAGCTTTTACTTGAAGAATAATGTTCTCATCCCAAAGAAAGCTCCATACTTTGGCATGATATTCTTGACGAGAGTAAGGAATTTTATGGGTCATTATATAATTATTTGCCCAAGAACGAGTGCATCTAGCATGATATATCCCTTTTCCTGCTACATTAGCAACAATCTCACTTGCGTCTATTTTTAAATAATTAGATTTTATAAGTTGAAGGTAAAGTTGAATACTATTTAGACATATCCAAATCTTACTATTAACCTTTTCTTTTTTGAGATCTAATATTAGATTTTTGAGAGCAATCTGAATTTTATTATACCAATCGTAATCTTCAATTTCATCATCTGATTCTTCTACATTAGTCTTTTCAGTCAGCTTCTCATCAATTTCTTCAGAAGGTTTCTTGGTATTCCAAAAGGTGTGTAAAGTAAGAGTCCCTTTTGCTGCTTCACGCTGCTGTTGATTCTTTCTTCTTTTAGTATGACTTGAGTTTCCTATATAATATAACTTACGTACTTCTTAAAAAGCATGTTCCTGGTAATACTTTCTTTATTGCTTTACAAAATTTTTCTATAATGCTTGCAGTATTATCATCATCAATAGAGTTATAATGGGAAGAACTATTGTCAACTTCAAAGTAATCTTTCATATCATCATCATATCCTTCAGAATTACTATAAACAGAACTATTATGGGCAGATACATCATCATTACTAACTTTTATATTATTTATTTTGTAGGCTCTTCTTGATTGTTTTTGACATCTTGTCAGACGCAGCATGTTGGTAAGTATTAAGTTTTATTGTTGAATAATGATTCTTTTTATGTACAAGAAAAGCCAAATGAGCCAGCAAACTTGCTGCTGATGCGGTTCTTGACCTTGAGGTTTATAGTAAAATCTAAAAAATTTTTTAATTATAAAACGCAAAACGATATGAAAAAAAATTATCATAAGTTAGTTAATCACAATCAGGCTATTTTTCTATTGTAATATCGATTGGCTAATAATATAATAAGTAGAAGAGAATCACAAGAGAAATGTTCTGTATTACATTATAATAAAAATATATTACAATAGAAATGTATCACAATAGGAATGTATTAAATAATAAATTTATTTTGTCTTGTTTCTATACATATATTAAACTTTATGATAAACTATTCATACTTCTAATCAGTTAATATATTGTCACATGAATAAGCACAGACTAATAATATTATAAGTTTAGTGGATCACGTGATAAAAGATCAACATTTCAAAATTGGCCGCTTAAAAATATATTTGTTAGAACTAAGTTGTATGCACTATAGTATCTATGAAAATTCTAATAGTATGTGAAAAAAAATAATCAATTTTTTTTAATACAAAAGTAAATAAAAATATTAGAAGGAGTTTAACGTAAATTAAAATATAAAGACGTAATGTGTAGTATATATGATGTATAAATATGATGAAATTCTTTATATTATGCTTAAGATTATCTCAAGGATGCAATTATTCAACTTCAAGCTAATCTATATACAAGTATCAATAGAGATGACAAAAGTGATGATAATAAATTAAAAAAAATCTTATTATTTGAGAAAGAATAGGATTTATTAGATAAACTAATTGATATTTTACTTTTATTTGAAGAGCTAACATAGGAATTTTTAGAAGAATCTTATGTAATTCTTAACAAAATAATGATAATATTAATAAACTTATTTTTAATTTAGTATTATAAAGTAATATAAATAATAATATCAATAATATTAATTTTTTTGATGAAAATACTATATTTAAAAGAGTTATTAAAGATATTAAAAATAATATAAAAAATAATAATAAAAAATTTATAAGTAATATTACTAAAAAGAAAGTCTCTATTAAAGATCCATTAAATACTGAAGGATTTTTAGAAAAAGTGAAAAAAAAATATATCATGCTTTATTTTTATTACTGAAATACTCCTCATGATGTAAAATTAATGGTTTTTTTACTATATCCTTGCTATAAAGAATTAGATTTTTCTTAGAAGATAAAAAAGAAAAAAATAATTCAAAAACTTTGTGATAAATTTATCGATATTTTCAAAATAATATAATTTTTAAAATTGCAAAAATAACATCAACAAAAAAATTCAAATTTCAAATTTTTTATAATATTAAGATCTGACTAATTATATATTTATACAATTAAAATTTTATAACCGTAATTTTTTCACATAAAAATGTCTTCTATTTTAATTCTATTAAGAAACTATCAAATTGATGCTTGTTTTATATATCAATTATGCATATATTGTGATATAAATTTAATATTAGACAACTGTAATTATGATAAAGATATTAAACTAACTAAAAATAATCATTTTAATGTATTATATTTTTAAAATTTAATTTACAAACTGGATAAAATATTTATAAAAATAAAAAAATATCTTATTGTATAGTAACAAAAATTATGGTTATAAGTTGAATATAAAATTGTTATATTATTTTACACTTTATTTCACATATAATAGTCAAATTAATTGAAATGCTAAAGTAATTAATAAAAAATAAAAAAAAATAATTTTACCAACTAAAGATAACTTTTCTCAAGAACAATCACAAATAGAATTCAAATTATAAATATTTATCAAATAAAATGAACAAATATTACTTTTTATAATAATTAGTTTTATTTTGAAAAATCTAAGTTTTATTAAATTTAGAAATAAACTTGAAATACTTATTTGTGAATAAGTTGGGTTAATTTATCAAGATGAATATAATTTGGTATATAAATCAAGTTTAGAAAGTAGAGCTGGAATACTTTGGATAGTGAAGAAATATTTGACAAATTTTTGAAAGATTATTAGATCATAGTATTAGAAAATAAAAAAGCAATGATTATTTGTTACACTTAAAGAATTATCTAAGAAACATTCCTGTCAGATATTTATAATTTTATAATTTATTGTTTATTTTAAAAGTTATTTATTAAATTATTTTATATTGTTAAATTTTGTTTATAAGATGAAGTTTCAGAATAAGAATTTAATAATGAATTGGAAAATAAGAATTATTCTCATCAAAAACTAAATCTAATAAACTATAGTATCAAAGAAACATGTTAAAATTCATATATCAAAAGAAGCTGATTTAAATAAAAATGAAGTAATAGTTAGATCATATGTGATGAAGTTAAATAATAAATATATCTATAATATTAAAAATCACAAACACTATTTAATTAAAGATGATTATCATTTATTTTTTAAACAATTTTACAATTAGCTTATAGGCCAAGAAAATTATATATAATTTTTAATAATTATTATACATTAAATATACTAAATTAATTTGTTAATTAATATTTTTCTTATTATAGGTAAATAAGAATACAGATTTAAATATTCCTTCTAATCATGCTTTATTCAATATGATATATTTAGTAAAAGTAACTAAAAAAAATTCTTTGTCTGATGAATTTACTCATTTGCATCAATTATCACATCTATCACCATTACTATCATCATTACATTTAACACTGTCACCTTTAACATATAATAATTCTGATTATAATTCTAATATTTAAAGTAGATCACGCAGTTTATCATTAACTTCAGATTATAGTTTATTTTTACATATATCAAATCATAATTTATCAAAGAAAGTTGCACTAAATATGAAAGATTTTTTAAAAGGATTAGATAAAGAATTTAATGATAGTAAATTTATTTGTTATTTGTCTATTTTTAAAGAATAAGAAATTCATGTTAGTTATTTTACAAAATTATCAGATTCTGAATATATTTTGATAAGTATAATAATTATTAAATGTAGGCAAACATTATGTGATGAAGTAAAAAAATATGAATAATAATTTTTTTTTGTATATGTTCATTTTATTTAATAGAATAAAGAGCATTGGCATTATAATAAATAATTTATTTGTATATATTTTTAACAAAATTTCAAGTGTAAATTATTATACATCATAAACTGATTCTTTAAAATACTTTTTTTACTATTTCTGATGTAATTTAAGCTAATGCAACTAAAATTAAGTATATTGAATTAAAATGATTTATAAAATCTCTATATCTTTTTAACCAAGACTTTAATGCTAAAAAAGCTGTTTCGATTGAGTTAAAGTCTAGTGAGTAGGAAGGTAAATAAAGTATTCTACTATTAATATTTTCTATTGCTATAATTAAATTATCGTCATAATATATGCATATATTATCTATAACTAATATACTATGCTAGATAAGGATTCATTTAATTTAGCTAATTTAAAATAAATAAATAACATTATTAATAAAAGAAAGTTTTAAATTATTATCCCTTAAAGCGTAGGTATAAATTGGCTATAAAATATTATATAAAAATTATAATATTTTAATATCTAATGATTATAAAAAGATGAAATAAAGTTTATTAGATTTGTCATATTAAGATCT